TATATTTTATAATAAAGGAAGGAAAACACAAACTGAGATCAAGCAATGTAAGTAGCAGAAGTATGACCTGGATTTGTCAATAGTCAAGGGTGAAGGAAGGAAGGAAAAAAAGTGCTAAGAGAAACAGAAATTAAGACTTGGATTCTAGATTCAGCTTTGCCTCTATGTAAGTTTATAATTCTGGAAGAAAATATTTAAGCAAATCAGTGTGCATATGAACTTCTTGACCATCTTCTCTTGAAGAACCCTAAAACAAATCACACATTTCTATATCAATAATTCTTCATTCTCAAAAAAGAAACTTCAGTGACAAGAGCAAATTCAATACACTGCAGGTTCTCGCATAGTCTCAAATGACAATTCCTTTTATTGACTGAAAATGAAGATCTATATTTTTAAAATCACTTTCAGCAAATTTTTTCTGATTACAAAAAGCTCCATATACTTAAAATACAGAAATAGTTAAAATTGATTTGTGGTTCAAAAATACCTGTGTTGCCACAAAATAATGATGAGGATTTCCCTCTTCAACCATGGAAAGCAGACATTCTGATCCACTCACTGCATTCTTGAAATGGGGACAATTTCGAACTTGGCATTTCTGTGCAATCAGTTTTGCCCCATATAAATCCTTTCCCAATGTTTCTAATTCCTTTAACACACATCTGAAAAAAGACAAGAAAAAAATGCTATTAGTAGCCCACAATTATAACAAAGATATTTCTTTAAAAAAAAAAAAAAGGAAGTATAAAACACAATACTGAAGTTTTTAAAATGTAAAACTATACCATTACAATTTGAAATTGTCATAAGATAGCTATTTTAATCTTAAAAGACTTCGAAAATGCATGGACCAAGCAGAAAGAATATAATTGCTAAAATTTACTTAGTACTTATTATGTGCCTGACAGCATGCACATTGCTTTTTAAAATTTGTTTATTTTTTTCTATTTTGCAGTGCTGGAAATCAAACTTAGGGCCTTGTCCATGCTAGGCAAGCACTGTACCTCTGAACTATATCTTCAGCCCATTCAAATTGTTCTTCACATAAATTCTTCCTTTATCTCAAAATAACTTATGAAATTACTTTAAAATTATTCTTATTTTAGAGCACCCCATTCTGAGAGATTTCAATTAACACATTCCAATTCAAGCAACTGTGGAAAAGCCAAGACATAAATCCAACAGTTTGACAACAGATCCCTTGCCCGCAGCCAATGGATAGGCTTTTACTTCAAGTGCAAATGTGTATACTCTCAAAATTTGTATATTTTCAACTCAGAAAAGTAAAAATTCTCAAGTCATGAGGATGTTTAAAATCATAACCTCTTTTCAATCTGCATTTTCATATTAATATAAGTCAATGTTTCTCAAAGTCTCATGTATAAACTACCCAAATTGTAATGACACAGTGATATTAATTTTTTTTAAATTTCTAGCTCCTCTCTCTTCCCCTAGTCTGCATCTCTTACAGAAGAACCAAGTACAGTCATCCTTCATATCTTTGTGGGATTGGTTCTAGGATCCCCACTGATACCAAAATCTGGGAATACTCATCTCTTCTATAAAACGGCACAGTCTTTGCATATAATCTAAACACATCTTCCTGTATACCTTAAACCATTTCTAGAGACTTCTAACACCTAACATAAGGTAAATGCTATATAGGGTTGTTATAGTACGTTGTTTAGGGAATAATATATATTAAAAAAAAAAAAAAAGTCTCTACACATTTGTTACAGATGCATTTTTTCCGTCAAAATGTTTTCTAAGGTTCCTTGAATCTACAGATGGCGTACTCATAGTTATGGAGACCCACTTGTATTAGCATTTTCATAAGAAAGGGTACTCAGGCACTTCTTCCCACTAACGAGAGAGAGAGAGAGAGAGAGAGAGAGAGAGAGAGAGAGAGAGAGAGAGAGAGAGAAAACACCAATGAGCCAGAGATTTCATCAACCCTACCCAGTCCTTGCCAGACTTTTCCTTGCTTCATCTCCTCTATCATCTCATTAGTTTCATTTTGTTTTTTAAGAAAGATGATTTAATTTTTTTTCAGTAATCAGTTTTGACCTGTTTCAGGAATTGCAGACTTATTGAATACTTCCTGGTTGTCCTTCTATAAGTTCTTTAAATCCACCATGTCTAAAATCAAACTACTTTCCTAACTGCAAATTTCTCCTCTAAGATTTGGTATCCTTTTGGAATCATTATTTTTTCAGACATCTTAGGTAGAAATCTGAAATGATAACTGACCCTTCTTCCTCATTCCTACCCATATCCCATCAGTGGCTAGTTAGTCCTACCTATTTCAGCAGTCTCCTTACAAAAATTTTGGGTGAAGCCTTTCATCTCCCAGGTTTAAGCTTGCACTATTTCTTTTTTCCTTTTCCTACCCCCCCCCTTTTTTTTTTGGAGACAGGGTGTTGCTAAGTTGCTGAGGCTGACCTCAAACTTGCTATCCTCCTTCCTCAGCCTCCAATGCTGCTGGGATTGCAGGTGTGCAGGTGGACTGCTTGTCTAGCAAGTGCATGCCCCAGTATCTCAAAAACATGTTAAAAAAAAAAAAAAGTGGGAAGGATAAATTGTTATAATTTTGAAAATCTTAAAGAGTTGTAGAATGAAAGCAATTTATATATCTTGTTTGGATCCTGTGGGAGACCAACCTTACACGTGACTGGGTCACACTCCCCGGCTGGGTGCTGAGGCACTCAGTCACAGAAAGAGGCAGAGCTTTCCCCAACCTTCTTTGGTTCGAGGGTCGGTGTATGGGTGTGTCTTGCTACAGCCCCATGGGTGAAGCTATGCTCACCTGTTCCTTTGTAATATAATTCCTTGCCCTGTTTAGGATAGAATCTTCCATGGAAGTGCCTTGTGTGTGTCCCCTTCTCTTACTGTGTCCTTGGGTGTGGCCTACCCAGGTGTCAGTCAACCTGCTGAGTGAACATCATGAAGACAGACTCAGCCTCCTGAAACCTGACCCCTTGCCTCATTTGAATAACTTCTCCTCAATAAAAGGTGTCAGTGTGTGCTCTCAGCTCTCTCTTTCTGTGGACCCTTAAGGTCAGAGGAGCTGTCACAGCGACCCCAAAGAAAAAGGTATTTGTGTCTCTTGTGTGGTTATTTTGTGCAGCCCAGTTACCCCAGTTTTAACTGGAGTGATCCCTGAGCCTTTTAGTCGGGAGAACAGAAACCCAGCAGGATCCTAGGTTTTTTTTTTGAAATGGGGATTGAACTCACAGGCATTTAACCAGTAAGTCACATCCCCAGCACCCCCGCCTTTTTAAAAATACTTTATTTATAGACAGAGTCTCCCTGAGTTATTTAAGGCCTTGCTAAATTGCAGAGGTTGGCTTTGAACTTGCAATCCTCCTGCCTCAGCCTCCTGAGCTGCTGGGATTTTTTTTTCAGGCATGCACTACCATGCCCAGCTGGATCCTGATTTTAAAAAGACTTCTTTATCTCTTCATGATACAAGCCCAATAATAATAGTTAATAAATAAAATAACCCATCAATAAAGGGGGAGTGGAGAGTCAACAAGATTGGCCACGTTGATGACTGCAAAAGCTAGGTGATAGTTTCATTACGTTATTCTACTTTTGTGTTGTTGAAAATTTCCAGAAGTTAAATTCTTGAAAAAAGAAATGCTGTAGACTACATATGTTCCTGCAGAACTTCTCAACCTTTTTAATTTCATGGTACTATGCTATTAAAATGGTAATATTTCTAGCTGGGCATAGTGGTGCATGTCTATAATGTAGCAACTCAGGAGGCTAAGGGAGAAGGCTCTCAAATCCAAAGCCAGGCTGAGCAACTCAGTGAGATCCTGTCTCAAAATAAAAAAGGCTGAGGATGTGGCTCAGTGGTTAAGTGCTTCTGGGTTAAATCCCCGGTACCCAAAACAATTTTTTAAATGGTAATATTTCTGTGGTACACAAGACTAACTGAACAAAATGCTCATAGCCTGAAACAATGAATTCAAAGGCCCAGGCTACTGAAGACATTGTCTGGCAACACTGAAAACTAAGGGCGTGAAAAATTTGAGGGTATCTGCAACCCAGTTCCGGCGCTGCTTGAGAAATTCCACCTATGGAAACCTGTCCATCAAATAGTGTGATGTGAATAAAGCAGACAAAAAAAAAAAAACACAGTGTACACAGTAAAAGCTGTGTTTGTGTGTGCACATGTGTAAAACACTAGACGGACGATACACGTTAACCAGCTATGCAAATACCAGCAACCATTTAAAGGAGTTTTTTTGGTGTGTGCTGAAAAATGCTCTACATGACTTTAAGACAATCTTATAAGTATTTATAATCTGTATTTTTGCATCTGAGCAATGTGAGATTGAGAGGTTAAGTAACCCTGCCGAAATCACAGAGCTGGTAAGAGTGGGACCAAGATTCGATGCCAGGTCTCCCTGACTGCCAAACACTAGTTCTTATTCACCAGGCTAGCTACACCTGATATTCGCAGGGTACTGCACAACTGCCTACTATGAAGATTTTAGACCAACTGCCAGGGGGGCCGCCACTTATCATCAACTCCTAGTGGGCAGGGCGTTTTACACCTCGAGGGTTCGCAACGCAGGCCTCTAGCACATCCCCCAACCCCTGCGCCTCCTCGCCGGGCCCACCTGGTGGTGCACAGCTGCGTCTCCCCCATAAGGTAGCGAGGCAGCTGCTCCCGCAGCTGGACGCGGCCCCGCAGCGCTGCCTGACAGAAGGTGCCGTCCAGCAGGATCTGGTACGGCTCGCGGACTCCGAAATTGTTGCGGAAAAAGCCAAGATGCTTCTTAGCGTGTTTCTGCCTGGTAATCTTCATGGCTGGCTTACTCCGACCGACGCCACCAGGCCGAACACAGTAGCACAAACCTTACGCACGCCTGCGTCCCGCAGTGCCGGCTCCTCCCGGAAATGAAGCACCTATGGCCCCGGAAGCAATCGCCTGGGTTTTCCCCGACCGGCCTCCTGGCTTACGTCACTCACAGACTATCGGACGCTTGGAGCGTCGTACCCGCGCTTTAAGGGGCAGGCTCTGGGGGCGGGGCCCGGGCCGGCGCGGGAAAACCGCTGAAGCGCGCGATTCCCGGCCGGGGCGCACCTTGACTTCGGCCTGATGGTGGTCTCGCTTCGTTTAATTCATTATTTTGCACGTAGCAAGCCTCCAAAGACTGGCAGTATAAAAATAGTAAGTGATAGTGTTGAGCCCAAATATGTTCCAGAAACTTGTGAACTACACCGGGCTAATAACGGGAACTGGTTGAAGGTTTAGAAATTATTTGGTCAATTTGATTAATAAAGAAAGTGAATCAGAGTTCCCCAGTGGATACTGCTGAGTATCCGCTTCAAAGCAAAATAATCAAAGGAAAGGGAGTATGGAATGTGTCCTTATTACTGCCCTTCATGTTTATAATTCCCAAGTGAGAAAAGGAAAGAAGCCAATATTGGCAGTGTAATCCCAGTGACTTTGAAGGCTGGAGCAGGAGAATCACAAGCTCAAGGCCAGCCTCCGCCATTTAGCGAGGTCCTAAGCAACTTAGTGAGACTTTCCTTTCATGATTAAAAAAAAAAAAAAAGTCTGGGGATGTGGCTCAGTGGTAGAGTGCCCTGGGTTCCATCCCCAGTACCACAAGAACAACAAAAAAGTCAGTATTGGACAGCCATGGCTTGGGAGGTTTGTAGTGACTGCTTTCCTGTAAAAAAGTTAAGCACAATGCCAGAAGCCATGTTGTACACCTGTAATCCCAGTGGCTTGGGAGGCTGAGGCAGATGGATCACGAGTTCAAAGCTAGCTTCAGCAAAAGCGAGGCTCTAAGAACTCAGTGTGACCCTGGGATGTGGCTCAGTGTTCGAATGCCCCTGGGTTCAATCCTCAGTACAAAAAAAAAAAAAAAAAAAAAGAGTTAAGCTCAGATACTAAGGGCATGTGGTTCCTGGGTGTGGGGAACGTAGGTCACCAGCTTGAAGTTCACACATTCTTACTATACCCTATAGAAGTTAATCCCACTCAGGAGCCATATGTTAGAGTAAAGGGTCCCACTGTTTTGCATCTCCTCCTCCCCTTAAGACCATTTTTAATCACTCATAGGAAGTGTCCTGGAAGAACTTTCTTTGTGGGGAGAGGGTTACAGGGGATTGAATCCAATGTCGCTCTATCACTGAACTATATCCCATCCCTTTTGTACTTTATATTTTAAGACAGGTTCTTGCTAAGTTGCACAGGCTGGCTTTGAACCTAGAATCCTCCTGCTTCAGTCTCTGGGGTCACAAGGTGCAGTATTGCCAGGCCTTAGTTCCATTTTAAGGACAACTTTCATGTCCATAGTTTCTGACAGGGGAAATCTATACACTGGGCTAATAACAGGAAGGTACAGAACTGGTTGAAGGTTTAGAAATTATTTGGTCAATTTGATTAGTAAAAAAAAAAGTGAATCAGAGAACTTCGAGTTCCCCAGTGGATATCTGCTAATCAAAGGAAAGGGAATATGGAATTTTTCATTTTTGTCCTGGCCTGGAATTTGTCCCAGTTCCAGTTTTGGCTGAAGATTGAAAGAACTGTTACAGAAAAATGATTTACAATGTGATTGAAATGTATTGTTTGCATTTGGGTTTTTATTTCAATATATAGGTTTATGAAATTGGAACTAAGGTTTTCTATAAAGTTAGTCCTGACCTCAGTCCCAACCCATCACTTAGATGGCTGCTTTCATTGAACTGAAAATAAATTTAGGAACTGGAAGCCATGAAAAATCAGTGTAGGATTGGATTCGTGGTCCTTAAGTATAATTGCCCACTATGTTCTGATTTGAATCCTTTCTTTATCACTGTATGCCAACTCCCCCTCCAACTATCCTCCCCCTACAAAGAGAGAAATGATACCATTCCAGCCTGAAAAAAACAATTAAAACCTTTTTTAAAGTAGCCTCACAGATCTGTCTACCAGTTCCTTAGCTACTTTTCAGTATGAAGGAAAATGTGGTATAACACTAGGGATTTGAGCCACATTCTATTCTGTTGTTCTTGCTTAAATTTACTAAATTACAGCATAATTTTTTCAAGTTTTGCATTTATGACAGTGCCAATTTGCACAACTACCCTTCTGATGAAAATCTGAAGACAGCCTAGAGTGTTGATTATCAAATTGAAAATAAAGTTTTATATTACTGCAGTGTTTCTTAAAACATGATCCCAGGACTTGTAGGAAAAACTTTTATTGTGCATTTTTAAAATGCCCATTTCTGATTCAGAACAAGTGGTGAGGGAAAAGGGTACTACAATATTCTACCTTCGTCTGCAGGGGAAACATTGCAAGACCCACAGTGGAGGCCTAAAACTGTGGATAGACCTAAAAACTACATACACTATGTTTTTTTCCCTATACCTGCATATCTATGATAAAGTTTAATTTATAAACTCATCATAAGACATTAACAATAACTAATAATAAAATAGGACAATTGTAACAATATGCTAATATATGTTATGTGAATGTGATCTTTCTTCCAATATATCTTATTGTACCATAGAGCTTAGCAACCTCAGCATTAATTTTTTTTTGTATTAATGCCAGAGTTTTCTTCTACTAATGGGCAGGTGGTGCATACAGTATTGGAAAGGAAGTGACATTTATTAAAAATATCTTCCTAGGTCATTATTATGCTCATTAGTGTTCCTCATGACCTTTTGAAGTAAAGTATCACTGTTTATCCAGTATGATATTTTTATTAAGTGATCCACTTAATACACTTTTGTCCAGATGCCAAATGGACTAGTAATGGAAAATCAATATTTGGCCACCACCAAGGCAGAAGTCAAATGTTGCCATTATTGAATAAACTATTTGGATATAAACTTAAATCAAAAATTTTGAAAATTATTATAATATCATTATTAGATTTTGTTTACGTTATTTGCATTTATTTTATGCTGAATTTATTCCCATGCCATATGTTTTTGTTTTAGTTTCTTTGGGGATATCTTTTTCTTCTGTGCAACCTCCTCTGTGGGTTTAGTAACAATTTGTTCCTTTCAGTGAGGATCATCTCAATGTGGCGGTGAGAACTCATGGATGGGTTAATGAGCTCTGTAAGTATGGCAGCACATCTTGGGTGCTTTGTTCACCTGGATATGTTCAATGACCAGAGAATCTACATCCAAACTCTGGGCACACCTCCCAACTCTACCACTGTAATGTCAGAATGGCACACATTGCTTCTTTAAATATATATATTTAAAGAAGACACAATATTTTATTTATTTTTATGTAGTGCTGAAAATTAAACCCAGGGCCCTGCATGCACTAGGCGAGTGCTCCACCACTGAGCCACAACCCCAGCTCACAAATTGCTTCTTTAAAGTGATATCTTTAACGTACTTGGTGGCTTTTCAGATATGCATACCCTTGATGGCCTGTGCAGTTTCATGTGTGTTCTTAGAGTAAACACCAAGATTTGAACCTTTTGATTTGCATGATTTTTGTGGGGTTTTCCAGATCAAGAGAGTAGCATACCATTTTCACAGATCACCTCAGCCGCTTACAGGAAGAGCTATTAAAACCTTTAATGGTCATTATTTTGTTTAATCTTACAGTGCAGGAACAGTAATGTCTTAGTATTGCTAGCTGTTAGCTTTTTTCTCAGTGACCAGGTCACTATACTGGACATTTTCTATGCCAAATACACATTCACATTCAGCTGAGGTTGGTAGAGAATTCTTTTATTTATTTATTTATTTTCATAATTTTCATGTTCTTTATTCTGTGTGGATCAAATATAATTTATAATGAGATGTTGTACATGATTTCAAGGATTTTTTTCTTCATGAAATTTTGATGAAGACAAACTGACATTGAGAATGATTTATTCTTGAAAGGTGTGACTAATTCCCACATAGGACTTTTTCATGAAAGATTTATAGCCTAAGTGGAATTAAATGGGTAAACATTAAATACAATTTATAATGGTTATTCTATTTCATTTCATAAATGTAAGTATGGTTTTGTTCAATTCCATAAGCATTAGAAAATTCATCTAAAATATCTATTGTAATGTTATCCTGCCTTATACTCATATTTAAATATTTATAAATATTTGTTTACCTTCATCAGAAAGATTACTACACTTTTTCTAAATTATCTAATTAACATTCTCTCTAAATAAACAACTTAGCTAAATAAATATACATATTAAAACAAGTTAGGGAAATTGCTTTGTACTGAAGTAGGAAGCTCTTCACTGAGATCTCCTAGGATAGACTCCATTGTGGACTGCTTTACTGTGAAATTTCATATCTGTCAGAAAAGTCAGTAAAGTTAGATCTAAAGGCTATCACATTTTAATAATTTTAATTTTCTTAATTACAAAACAGGAAAAGTTCATCCTGTTATAAGTGGAAGAGTAAAAAGGTGTTCATTCCCTCTCCTCTTACCTATATGATACAAGTTAACAAACTACTGTGCATCCTTCTGCAGTGTTTCCATGGTCACACACTTATATCACATGCATACACATGTATGTCCATACATGAAGATACTCTTATGCAAATATGGAATCATATTCCATCACTTCTATACATTTTGCTTTTCTCATTTCACAATCCTTGTAGAAATGCTCATACACACCTCCCCAAGGTCCATTGGCAGAGCTCTCATTCTCTATTTTTAATGGTTACATGACAATATAATAAATATGATACAGAATGTGAATTTTTACTATCTCCTCTTATCTTTTCTTCCTCATCCTTTTTTTCCTTCTCTTCCTCTTCCGCTTTCCCTTTTCCTCTTACTCTTCCTTCTTCTCATTTTTTAAAAATTTAGTACTGGGAATTGAATCCATTATAACATCGGATTACCTCTGCAATCCTTTTTCTTTCATTTTGAGACAGAGCCTTACTCGGTTGCCTCACCTGAGGTGGAATTTGCAATCCTCCTGCCTCGGTCTCCTGAGTAACTGGAATAATAAGCATGCACTGCTTTGCCCAGCTCCTCTCTTCCTTGCAGCAATAGGATCCTGATTTTTATTTCGGACAGTGATGCCTAGATAAAAGGATTCATTCTCCACCTCTCTCTGCAGTTAAGTATGATAATGTGCTAGCCATTGCAAGGACTTTTAGGAAGGCTACTAAAGGAAGTTGACTTAGCTTGGCAATGGGCACTTTTGTTCTTTCCCCTTCTTCCCTCCTAATCCCTGGAATTGGGATGTGATGAATGAACTCCGGCAGTCTATGGGTCCATGAGCAAATACTGGCAAAGCAGTTAAGACAGGGAGGCTAGATGGCTGCAACATCTTTCCAAACCTAGACTTCCTTCCCTTGGATATGTTTTACATGAATAAATAAATAAACTTCTACTTTGGTTTTAAGTATGTTATTTCTTTTAGATGCAGCCAAATCCAATTCTAATGATACATTTCAAGTTTGCTCTATAAAGATGTAGAAGAGGAGAGTTATACTGACAGATGTGTTTGATGAAAACTCAATGTTAACTCGTATTCACCAATACAATTGCCCTTTCCTTTAAACAGGTTCAAAATTCTAGTTTCTAAGATGGCTCTAAAAGGTAGACTATTTTTCAAAGCAAAATAAACCAAATCCTTTACACATCCTATAGAAACCATCTTGACATTAATTTCTTTCGAAAGTATAAGCAATTTGATTTGAATTAATGTCAGGAGGATACATCTCTAGTAGGGAAAATTTAGCTAAATAAGAACCCCAGATGTGTGGGCAAGGGACAGCAAGGAAATATTAATGTTACCCTGTAATGGTTAATTTGAAATGTCAACTTGATTGGATTAAGAGACACCAATGATTAATAGGCTTCTGGGTGTGTCAATGAGGGTGTGTCTGGGAATGATTGGCATGTGGGATAGCAAACTGAAGTGGAGACCCTCCCTAAGCTTGGACAGCACCATCTATCAGGATGGTGGCTTGGATGGAATAAAAGTTGGAAGAACAAGGAAGCAAGAGCAGATGCAAGCTTGATTCTTCTTGGAAGGGTTCTTTTCTTAATTGCTACTGTGACCTCCTGAGGATATCAGACTCTTGCTTTTTGACTTTTTCAAAGCAGACTCTGCCAGTGATTCTCCAGGGAGTTTCCAGAAGCCTTTGGTCTATGACTAGGGTAGCACTGTTGATCCCTCTTGTTCTGGGACCTCAGCCTCTTGGACTGCAGGGCTACTGGTTCCTCCAGTTCTCCAGCCTACAGACAGCCACTATGGACCATCCAGCTTCTGACTGTGTAAGCCAATCTAATAAATCTCCTTTCTATAATCATACTTCTTGTTGATTCTGTTCCTCTAGGAACTCTGACTAATAGACACCCTTTGTCAATTGAAGAAACCAAGCAGGATTTCTGTGTATCAGCCCTGCCACTAAGAGCCTTGCTCTTCCTTCAAGTCAAGTAACAAAGGGGAAAACATGACTCTTAGGAAGTTTTCAAGGAAATTTCTGTTTGTCAAGGCTCTCCCTATTCTCCCACCCCATAATGGGGATTGAATCCATGGGTGCTTTACCACTGAGTTACATCCCCAGTTTTTTAAAATTTATTTATTTATTTATTTTATTTTGAGGCACTAAGTTGCTTAGGACCTCACTGAGCAACCTCTGAGGCTGGTCTCCAACTTGGGAGACATTGGGATTACAGGTGGGCACCACTGCACCTGGCTGTCAAGGACATTTCTAAACCAGACAGTAACCAGGAACTGCTCATCACTACATATCATCAAATAACTCTTGTCTGATGACAATATAAAATTAGACTAGCAAGTTTGCTATAATAGTTTATTTAGATGAAACCATACTTACATAGAATACTGCCAAGTTGGGTAAATCTAAAGGAATTCAGTGTTTCACTACAAGGGATTTGAATAGTTGGCATTTTACTATACAATGTTTAATAGTGTTCAAGTGGTGAAAACAAACATTAGCAGAGCAGATCAAAAAGTTAAGAAGTATTAGCAGTGAGAAAAATGTCTTTGATGCAACAAACATGGCCATTTGAAATTTATTTAAATTGTAACTGAAACTGGTAGAGAAGTTCAAGCTATAAGGGACCATTCATTTTAACCTATCAAAGAAGATTAATGAATACTTATAAAATTACTGTAGGTAAGCAAATATTATTACTGTTACTTAAAGGAGTTTAAATATTGAAAATTATGTCAGATTATACCTTTAAAGAGATTTTCTGAAAACACCATTTGTTTATATTTAACAAAATGTTGAAGACGTCTCTTTCACTCATGGTTTCGTATATATTTTTAAGCAGCAGGAAGACTACAGGGCAGAAACTGAACTCCTGATGGCAAGAAATTAAACATGCTTTCAATAATCCAGTAGACTATTATTTCAAAGTCTAGTATTTGTAATTGAATTACACCGATACAAGGTATTAATTACATAATTATGCAAAATAAAAGTCACTCAAAATCTTCTCAAACTTTTTCAATGCAAGATTACTTTGTTGTAATACAAGTTGGTAAGTCATAAATCAAAATACTGGCATAAAAGGTCAAATGTCTTTTTAAAAAATTATTATTGTAGCAAACATGTAGATAATGCCCACATGCTGAGTTTTATGTTTAAAGAACTTTTTTTTTATTGGCTCTGACTTTACCCTTTCTGTTTTTCCTTTCATCAAGCTGAACAAATTGCTTAGCTCCTCCAAGTATAACCTCCCACAGTCTCATTCCACATGTGGACACAAAAGGAGGCACAGGACCCAAACTGATCTCAGAGTAAAGATGAAGATTTTTCTATGATTGGGGGAGAGTTTTTGTCTCAATAAACAAACAAAAAATGTATTGTGTCAACTGCTACTGGCAGCTATTTTGAGATTACAGTGGTAGCCAGTCTATGGACAGAACCAAGATATTGCAAAGGACAGAGTGGAGAGAATCATAAAGGTATGGAAATGGTGTCTTTGTGTTGCTTCATTTCCAGTCTGCCCTGTTCCCTAAGAGCCCTGATAGGCTATAAAGTACAGTGCCTTTTTGTTTAATTCAAAATGTTTTATTCTTTGGTTTTGGTTACTTAAGTCCAAAGCATTCTTGATGGAATCTTTGTCAAATCAAGGCAAAATCCTTCTAAGGCTTTGATGTTGATTATATAGTTATCTTCATGAATACCTTGATTTTAAAATATTTAACATATACATCATTTTTTTTTTATCGCTGACAACACAGTGAAGAGATTGAGATACCGAAGGAATGGTTGTTATTAGCTTTTTCAATTATTTCCCAGAGGCATTTTTTCTTCTTTTTTTAGTTGTTGACAGACCTTTATTTATTTATTTATTTGCATGTGGTGCTGAGAATCAAACCCCGCACCTCACACTGAGCCACAATTCCAGCCACAGAGGCATTTTTTTCAACTTGACTAAAACATTGAGTGTCAAATGATTTTTTTTTTGCCAAAATGAAAAGTGTATTGATTTAATCTTGAACTTTAGGTTCACCCTATTTATATGTTTGCTATGGTTTCAATAAGTGTCTCCCAAAGACTCATATGTTAAAGAATTGGTCAGCAACCTGTGGCACTATTGGAAGGTGGTGGAACTTTGAGGTATTGGGTCCTAGTGAATGAAGTTAGGTCAACAGGAGGGGTGCTCTTGAAGGGGTGACTGGGACCCCAGCCTTTCTTCCCCCTCCTCTCCTCTCCCTTCATTCTTTGTCATCATGAGTTGAGCAGGCTCCTGTGCCTCATGTTCCTATCATGGCTCAAAGCAACAGGGTGTAATAAGCATGGACTAAAACCTCTAACACTGTGGGCCAAAAAAGACCCTTCTGTGTGTGTGTGTGTGTGTGTGTGTGTGTGTGTGAGAGAGAGAGAGAGAGAGAGAGAGAGAGAGAGATATTGGGGATGGAACCAAGGGCCTCATGAGTGCTCTACCGAGACAGGATCTCATTGAGTTGTGCAGAATTTGTGATCCTACTGTGTCAGCCTCCTGCGTAGTTGGGATTATAGGTGTTGCCACCACACTTGGCCTAACCCTTCCTCTTTTTAAGTTTATTTTCTTAATTTATCTCAGGTTATTATGTAAGAGTGAATGAAAGCTACCATGTTTAATTTTCTTTCTTTTTTTGCTCCTCCTTCTCTTTCTTCTTTTTGGCTCTGGGATTGAACCCAGTGATGCTTAACCACTGAGCCACATCCCCAGTCCTTTTTATTTTTTATTTTGAGACAGGGTCTCGCTAAAGTTGCTTAGGGCCATGCTAAATTGCCTCAAACTTGCAATACTCCTGACTCAGTCTCCCGAGTTGCTGTGATTACAAGCATGTGCCACTGCACTCAGCTCATATGATTAATTTTCATATCTAGACTGAGTCCATCAATTATAATGGCAAAAGATGGGAAGTTATTTTTTTCACCCATTTTAGTAGACTGAGAGTTTTTGATCCTTTCACATGAGTACTGTTGGAAGGTAGACTTCCTAATTCTTCCTATACCTGGTTACTGGTGATTCCCTAAAAAAGAAGTGGCTAATTTTATGTTTTGGGAGATGCCATAACAATCACATAAAAATATATCCTTTTAAAGAGAACAGATGAAGATAATAAACTGTTAGTCTGATTTTTTACTCAAAGAAACATAGAAGAATAAGGGGGAGGAGGAGAAGAGGGGAAGGCAGAGGAGGAAAAGGAAGAGGGGAAGGAGAAGAAGAAAAAGAATGAGAAGGAGAAAGAAGAAGGAAGAAAATATCTTTGTGCTTCTTTACCAGAAGATAATCTGCACAGAAGAGATTAAAATATAGAGCCATTATATAATCTCTCTCTCTCTGCCCATTATACAATGTTTTGTTACAATGTACTCATTTGATAACGGTGTTTTGTTGTGTAATGCCAGATTCCTGGGACCCCAATAGATCTCCAGGAGCTGAATCCAATGCAATCACACAAGAGTCTTTATTGCAAGCTCGAGCCTGGACTCATAACCCTTCCAACGCAGCGGTCCTTTGTCCAGTGAGATTTTATAGGTTTGGGGGGAATACTCTATGCATCACAACATCACACAGCAGATCATTCCATACAGCGGGAAAAATCAAACCACAACTCTTAACATTGATTAGCACATTCACTGGTGGGAACAAGTTGGGTAGGGGTGATTGGTTAATACAAGAGGGGGATTCCTTTTAACTGATTGGTTTAGGCCACGAGGGTGTACTTGCTAAACTACGTGGTTTCCCACCAGTTATCAACCACCATAAGCTAGTGGGGGGTCATCTGGCATCCCAGGTATTTTCTTTGTCTCAAGCTGACTGGTGGTTGCTAGGGAGTTGCTATAGGTCCTTACCTAGCCTGAGTCAGGGAAACCTGGCACTGCAGACCTCTCCTGTTATTTACAGACAAACAACTCAGCAGGGTGGGTATGTGCCTAGGAGTGCTCTGTGGGTTTTTCCAAGGACAAGGGTCACACCCCCTTCCTTGGACAGGCGTTGCTCTGAGGTAGAGGCTGGTTTCTCAAAAATGGAGTCACATCAGTTTCTCAGTTGCTTCCTTTTGTTTCTGATATGTACTGGAGAGTATCCTCCACCTCATTCTATGCCATGAATGCACAATTTCCTCCAGGAAGTATAGAAAATAGACAGGTCATATTACTTTCTATCAAGTTCCTTCACACCAAGGCAGGAACAGATGCTAAGTTGGTCTAATGCTAGGTTGGCTGGGAGCCCTGAGCAGAAATGCTCCATGTCTTTTTGCTCCATTGCTGAACACATTGCTCAGTTCAGGCCCAAGACTGCCAGATGGTCAAAGAAACCACGCCTTCCACAGAGGTCTGAAAGCAGGTAACACCTGAGTAGAAGTGTATTGAAATAAAAACAAAAATCCTCTGACTCATCTGAATACTGAATAGGAATAAAGTGACATTTAAAAAATTGTTTGGCTTAAATTTGGTGTCTTGATTGATTTCATTTCATTGGCTTGAATGGGGTTTAAGACGTTGCTTAATGAGGGCAGCAGTTGTAACATTGGCTGGTTCTAAGGAGGAGACAGGTCACAGCCTGGCATTCACTGGGCCATGTTTTCTTAGTGGGCAGAGTGATACCACAAAACAAAACTGGGTAGACAGTTTATTTGTTCACTTTTTTCCCACACAGGTATGGCAGGCCATCCTCTCCTTCCTTTTTCCATGTGGTGATCACATATGGGCAGGGTGTGTGGCTCTTTTTGGAAGGATCTCAGCATCTTTTCAATTTTTTGCTTTTAACTAAATTTGAAACATTTCCAACAATATAGAACGACACTAAAATCTTTAAATCCTGTGACATATTATGAAGAACATATTGTGAATTTATTTTATCCAGGAAATGAATATCCACATTAAACTCTTTCTGAGGGAAGCAGAAATGTAATTTAATGGTTGTGAACAACCATGTTAGGTGATCAAATATATTCAGAATATTCAGTATCCTGATTTAATTTCTTATTTCCTTTCTTCTGCAAATCTTAGATTTATTCTGCTCTTTCTCCCCTTGGATTCTAAGGGAACTTAGATTATTGACTTGAAACATTTCTTGATTTTCTTTTGTCTTAATTTTGCTAAATCTAATATGAATATGGCCACTTCTGCTTTCTTCTGATTAATGGTTGCTTGCTGCATACACATTTAGCTATTTGCCGCTCAATACTATTGTGATTATGTCCCACAAATTTTGATATTTTATATTTCCATATTCATCTAGTTTAGTGTGTATATATGTGTGTGTGTGTGTGTGTGTGTGTGTGGCGGGGAGGGAGAGATGGAGAGAGAGGGAAAGAGATGTGTGTTTGTATTTTAATTTCCCTTGGGGCCTCCTCTTTGATCTGAGAATTATTGGTAATGTATTGTTTAGTTTTAAAGTATTTGGAAATTTTCCTGTTATCTTAATACTTTGATTTCTTGTTTGAATCTACTTGGTTGTGGCTAAAGAACATACTCTGAATGATTTCAATTCAGATATCACTTTATTGAGGTTTAAACTTGTTAAAGTTTGTTATAGTTCTGGATGTGATCTATATGTTCCATGGAAACTTGAAGAGAATGTACATTGTGTACTTTGAGTATTCTGCAACTAGATCTTGATAGATGGTATTGGTTGAGCTTCTAATAGTCTGATTTTCTCCCTAGTTGTTCTGTTAATTGTTGGGAGAAGAGAGTTAACATCTCTAACTGCTATTGCAGATTTGTCTATTTATCCTTTCAGTGCTGCTTTTTTTTTTCCCTTCACATAAATTGTCAGTTGTTGTTGGGGTGTACACATTCAGAACTGCTGTGTGTTCTTGGAGATTCGCCATTTTATCACTATTGTCTCCTTCTGCCTCTGGTGATTTTCTTATGTTTGAATTTTGTTGTATCCACTTTCTTTTGGTTGCTTGCTATATTTTCTCATCATCTTATTTTCAATGTGCTTAAAGCATCAGATTTGAAGTGAGCTTCCTGTAGACAGTTATGATTAAGTCATGTTCTACCAATTGTCTTTTAATTGGTACATTAGGAACATTTATATTAATGTAATTTGATATGTTTGGGCTTAGGTCTGCCATTTTATTCATTTTTCTATTCCTTTTGTTTTTGTATTTTTTTCTTGCATTCCTGGGAATTAAGATGTTTTAATAGTTTATATTAATCTATCCATGGTATTTTTAGTGTATCTCTTTGTAAAGCTTTTTAGTGACTTCTCTTGGTAGTATAACTGTTACAGTTTGGTGTCATGTCATTTTACTAGTTTGATTCAACTGTGGAAATTTTACTTACATATATGTTCCTTAGCTGTCCTTGTATGACTACCTTAAATATTTCTTTCATATGCACTTAAAACTATACTAGGCAGTTTTATATTTTTTTTGCTTTGACCTTCAAAAATAATTTAGAAAACTTAAAAAAGAGGAAAAAAGATTATTATAATTACCCAGAAAAAAAGACTATCATAATTTTCCCCCAGAAGGTCAAGAATGGGAATTTATTCTTATTTACATATTTTTCTGGGTTGAACCCAGGGCCTGGAGCATGCTAAGCAATTGCTTTACCACTGAGCCACATTCCCAGCATAAAGAACAGACTGTAATCATTTTTACATAAAAGATGCTACAGAAATGCAAACAATAATTTTATTATGCCTTCTGCCTAATTAAGACCTATTCAACATTTAAAAAGGTGTAGCAGGGCAAGGTGGCACAGGCCTGTAATTCCAACAACTCCCGAGGCTGAGGCTGAAGATCACAAGTTCAAGCCCAACCTTGACAATTTGGGGAGACCCAGTCTCAAAATAAAAAAAATAAAAATAAAAAGAGCTGGGGATGTAGTTGAGCGGTAGCCTGCAAGTGCGAGGCTCTGGATTCAATCCGCAAAACCAAAACAAACCAAACACAAAACGCCCTACTTTCCTCTTTGAGCAAAAGACGAAAGGAATATCGACAGTGCGCATGAGCACAAGAGTCCTCCGGGAACGGAGGTCCAGACGCCAAAGAGAGGGAAGGCGTGGCTCCATCCTGGCCTCTCACTGGTTGCGCCCCTCAACGGCAAATTGCACATAATGTCACGAAAGGTCTGTACTTCCGTTTCCGGCAACTCACGTTTCTCTTTCTTCCTGTCTGGCTGGAAAGATGGCGTCCCGTAAGGAAGGCGCCGGCTCTACCGCCACCTCTTCCAGCTCCACCACCGGCGTGGTAGGGAAGGGCAAAGGCAAAGGCGGCCCTGGAGATTCGGCCGTGAAGCAAGTACAGATAGATGGCTTGGTGAGTGGACTTCTGTCACCACAGGCCCACGTGCGGAGCGCAGTTCCCAGCCTGACCCCGCTCGCCCTGTCCTCGCTGCCTTCCCTTTGGGTTTCCTGAGGCCGGTCCCAGATTTTCCCCTAGTTCCCTGCTCTTTCCTTTCCACTTTTTGTTCGGGAGACAGTACAGCCATCTCTGGCTTCTGATGGGGCAGTTGGGGACAGATAAGAAGCGTGAGGGAGTATGTGTGTGACACATACTTGGTCTTGTTTTGAGATGTCTGGGAGAGAAGATTTGGAAAAAGGGCTTCTGGGTGCCAGCAGTTGACGGAAGGTGTGGAGAAGGATTTAAGACCCTAGTTTAGGGCTTTGAAAAGGGGAGAGTGAGGGAAACAACATTGTTTCCTTGCCTGGGCTTCTGACACCTGTAGCTTCTCAAGAGATTTACCTTGTAGTCACTCTAGTGTAGTTCAGCGCTTTACTTGAAACCGAATAATCATAATGAAGTCTTTTGTGGTGTTAATTCTGAACTATATAAAATGCCTCAGAGTAGCCTAAAATGTATTTAGTCGTTAGGATTTATGAACTAGGACATTTATGGAAATCTTGGTTAAGGGATTGGACAGATCTAGAATCACGAAATTTTATTTCTATTGTTACAACAAAAGTGCATTTGTAGGACTTTTTAGCTTTAAAAACATTCTTCCTGATTTTCTTAAAAAGAAACTTCCTCTCTTGGATCCCTCCGTATTAGGTAACTTTCATGTTTTTAAAGGTTTGTTATTTTCTATTAGTGAAGACCTTAGACATTTATAGTAAGGAAAGGTTTTTAAATTCATGTGCAAGTTGTAATTTCAGGGGCTATGTTTGAGGAAATTACTGATAATTTTGATCCAGCATACAGCTGAAATTTTGAACTGACATAAGTAAACTGGTTTAAAAAAGGTGGCCTGGTTTGAGAGTTCATTCAGTCTTCTCATCTCTGTCATCCACTAGCTCTGGGACCTTGGCAAGGTTAACTTCTCTAAGCCTCACTTTCTTCACTTGTCAAGTGGGGATGAGAACTATCTATGACAGGGTTCTTGTTTGGATTAAGTGAAAAACAGTGATCTTCACTAATCACTTAAACTAGTTAGTTGTGGTTATCATTGAGTTCAGTGTCTTTGGAGGGCAGAGTTTGAAAGATGCAGGCAGAAGGGTTACTTTGGAATGTTCCTTCATTTCCATAATATTTTGAACAATAATATATCTTCTACTTACTGGTATTTTGGGCTTTCACTGCTTATTGGAGGAGAGATGCATGTTCTGGAATAAATGACATTTAAAAAAATTTTTTTTAGATGTTGATGAACCTTTATTTTATTCATTTATTTATATGTGGTGCTGAGAATCGAACCCAGCGCCTTCACATGCTAGGCAAGTGCTCTGCCACTGAGCTACAACCCCAGCCCCTAAATGACATATCTTTAGAGACTGCAAATTTTTGAGTGGACTTGAATTATACCTGCAAAAGTAAATACCACTTATTCACTAGGGAAATGTTTAAGTCATTTCTTAGGAACTTATTTCTTAATAAATTTGCTTATGCTTCAAAATAATCCTTTGAATTATTTAGTTTCCTGAGTTGAAAAAGGCAACAAGTATGAGGCATGAATCTATTTATTGGAGGTAATTTATTCAACAAATATTTTAGAACATTCTTCTAAGTGCTAAGCACTTCTATTGAAGTCAAAGAGCCGTCTGTATTTGTAATGTTTTATTCTTTTCATTTCACTGTTAGTAGAATCTGCTATCACTAGTTCCCTGAATTAATTAATTAAAAAAAGATCAATGATAACATTAGCAAAAGAGCTGTCAATGACATAAAAATATCAGTTAGGCAAAATAATGTTTATATTATATAATTTAAATACTTACAAATAAACATTGCTAACTAATTTTCAACTTGGAAAATATAACATCGAGAGTATCTTTGAATCCCCTTTCTTCCCCTTTTCATCTCTTCCTCTCCTTTCTCTTCACTTTATGTAAATCACCATTGTGAGCTTTCTTTGATTTCTTTACAACTTCACCAGATTATTTCTAAACAAATTAAGTTTTGACTATTAATATAAATAAATGAATAAAGTATAAATTGAGTTGTATAGTTTCTCATGTTTTGAGTCTTGAGATATGTCTATTTCATATCATGATTGTTAAGTTTTAGGATGTTTCTTGTTAGCTTTACTTTACTTGGTAGTGTCATATTATTTTCCTAAGCAGTTGTATCACTTCACATTTGTCCCCAGTAGTATATGAGGAGACCCAGTGTTCTACACCTCTTTTACCTTTGGTGGCTAGACTTCTGTCCTTTCTACTATAATAAATTAGAATAGTATCACTCACAGTTTTTCATTCCAGTAGACTTGTTGTGTCTCTTATTGTCTCCTGAAAGGGTCTCGTGTTTGGTATAGTGTTGTGGAATAGAAGAGTGGATTTTTATTCTAGTTAAGTGCTCTCTTTGTAGACAAGATCAAGCTCCTTCCTGTTGAACTTTCCATGTAAAACCCACTTACTTTCTCAGAACAATTTGAATCTTACCCTTTTTCAGTTCATTAGTTCCTCTCTACTCCTAAGTGTGGTCCATGCACCAGTAAGATGCAGAACAGCATTGGCCTGACCTGAGAGGTTGTTAGAAATGCAGACAAAAAATATCATAAATTCTCAACCTCCTCTCTCGACCTGAATCAGGTTGTATGTGTAATATTGTTTGAGAAACACTTGGTCTCGTCCATATTGACTTCCTTTCATTGAACTTTTTATAATTGATAGCAGCATGTATTCATCTTTGTATGTGATCAGACATGTCAGTTACTTTTTCAGTTGAATGATAATAACTCTTTGGTGTAAGACATTTGTATCCTCCATCTTTTCAGTGCTAAAAACCCATTGCCATTAAAAATTGTTACCTTTTAAAATGATAGGTTTGATGATGGAATATTTCTGGAAAACAGATTGAATAGTCCTGCTGTCAAGCACAAAGAGATTGTTGGAGTTCTTTTGTTTCGATTGTTCATTCTCTCATTTATCATGTGGTACCCAGTAACAGATTTTATTGTTTGTTAACACTTTTTATTTTGCAAGTAAAAAAGTCTGTCATGAATAAAAAAATTATCACCTTTTAAGCTTTATTTTCCTATATTTGTAAGAAGTTATCTTACCATTTTAGTATATTGTTAGCTTATTGTTAGTTTCTCGTCCTGTGGTTTTGTAAATAAGGTCAAGTATATTATTAATTAATGGGAAAGCCTGAGTTACATATATCTCTGTTGTCATTTAGTTGTCAACTCATGTCCTCTCATTTGAGCCCTTGTTATTTTCTGAACCTCTCATTTACTTGTTGCTTGTTTGTTTCCTCATAGTAGAATATCATCTTCTTGAGAGCAGAATCTGTTTCAGGTGTGTTCACTGCAGTATTTCCAAGTGTCTAGAACAGTGCCTGACATATAGGAGGCATCCAAACACTGAATGAATTCATATAATTCTGTTGTGGTAGTTTTATTGAAAATGAATCATGAGAGCAAACTGAGTAAGTCTTTTGTAGGATAATAAGGTTAATAGAATATTGGTGAGAAAGGAGCACACAGTTGAGAATATTCAGAAACTAGTTAGTTTTATGAGCTTTGTTCATATTTCACCTTTTTATTCGTTGGACTTTCATCTTCAAGAAAATCACTCATGTTAATTGAGCACCCAGTATTTATAAGACCCTGCACAAGAATGTTTAACAGTATTTTTAATCTGGCTTTAGTGGAGAATAAATAGGTTATTTCACATATGAATTTTTCAGTCAGATAACTTGAAAGTCTTTCAAACACCAAAGCTTTTACATTTTAACCATTTTAATTATAAATCCTTCTGATGTATATTATGTAATTTTCTACCATTATAGGTGGAGAATATTGAACATAATCTCACTTTTTTGTGACTTAGTATAATCATTAAGAATGTAAATTATTGACCCATATTGGACAGTAATTCTCAAAAATAGGGTGGACCAAAGGGGAGGCAGGAGGGGCCGGGGGGAAGGAGAAAAACTGGGTAATGAAGTTGACCAAATTATACTAGGAGCAGGTATGATGTATTACAGTGAATTCCAGTTTTATAGATAATTGTAATGCATTGATTAAAAAATAATGAAATAGAAGGAAGACCAGTAGAGTAGAAGTGGTGATCAGGGGGAGGGAGGAAGAACGGAAGAAGGTCATCTTGGTAATTAACATGGAGAAAACTATATCATATGCATTTATGAATATGTCAAAATGAACCTCAATATTATGTGTAACTATAATGCAATAAAAATTAAAAAAGAAGAAAAATTCCAAAGGGTAGTCCTAGTCTTTGTATTTATATAATGAATGTCCTGTGTCATTGAGTTTAGGTTGGGTGCTTTTTGTTTGTTAAATTTATCTCTTATGCCCTTGACTTCTAGCTTTTTATTTACTATAGATGAAAAACCAGTTAAGCATTCTTGTTAGGATTATTTCTAACCTTAGAGTAAGTACACTCTTGAATGAGGATTAAATTAAATACACAGCCTGACGTCTTGACTGCTTAGTTTTATTATTTGCTCAGACAAGGAAGATGTTATTACTTGTAAATAATAACTATTTTATAAAAGAAAAAGGCATTTGACATATATTATTGTATCTTGGTATACTTCCATTAACTGATAGGACTAGTATTATTTGGATTATACATATGATTCATCCTCTTACAGAAGCTGAGTGCTTTTCAAAGACATAATGCAGCCTATCCTAGAGCTTGAATTCAGATCACGTCTTGTTATCCTTGATTCATTTTTCTTCTATTATTTCACCTGTTTCCTACATTTTAAGGACTTGATGTTTATTTTTATGTAACAGGTACTTTATAAAGTGCTTCTTGACTTACAGGGGTATTACCTCTTGGTAAACCCATTGTAAGTTGAAAATATGTTAAGCCAAAATTGCATTTAATAACACCCATTCTACTGAACATTTG